AGTGGATGGATCGTCGTCAGTAATGACTCTAGTGAATCAAGAATTGCGAGACAACGATCGAATTTGGGCCTGGGAATAGTAAAATCGTGTGCGGACTGCAATATTTTTAATTTTTGGGACTTGCGATCTTTTTGCGCCAACAAGTTATAAAAGTGTAAAAACTTAATTTTATCGCAAACAAAAGAGGGCCGCCGATAAGAATTTGGCGGGGGCAGCGGAGGGCCTCTTTAGATTAACTTTTCTATTGTATGAAATTTTAAGTTGGTCTAAGAAAATCTTTTATGCGATAGATTTTCGTTTGCGCATTTACAGTACGATTTTTGTTACACATTTATACAGTGGTAGGTACTGGTTTTATCGGATAACTATTGGTTACAGTAGTTAAATCCGAATAGGTGTTCCTCCGATCTTTTTGAAGCGACACTATTTTTTCGTATTTTTGAACGCTGATTATGTATATGACAATAAAAATTTGCGATAAGGTCATTTTCAAGGTCAAAACTAAAAAACTGAAGAAATATAACTTTAATTTTATAAACCTGTTGATTATTTATTAATTTTGTACGATATATAATTTATGTACGACTGTTTTGTTCTTCGTGTTTTTTTTCAGATTCTTGCATGGTATCGTCTCCTCCTGACGCTCTCTTTTGGCCGGTCCTTATACGCTGTTCGCGTATAGCTTTGGCGATCTGTCTATTAATCTGTGGTATCTGTGTATGAATGACAAAAAAGGAAGGAGGACGACCCTGGACGTCCCTAGAACCCTAGGACAGTGATGCCAAAAGTGGCGCGTTTCTCGCGCATGCGCGACTTGACCAGTCATAATCGAGAATTATGGCAGCCATAATTTTATGAGCCATATATTATTTTTATCGCACTGTGTTAGTTAAATATTAATTTCAATCATGTCTCGACGGAAATAACAACTTACACATAATGCCCTGTTCTTTCGATAAATTCACGATGACATGCGTACTAGCGAGACCAACTGGTATGTACGTCAAATTAGACAGTGTGTCGGGGAAGATTTGACATCGTTTCGACGAATCATTTCTCATTGGGTATGTCACGCCTTATTTCTTGAAAACAATATTATTTTGCCCACTCGATTCCTTGAACGACCCAATAAGGACGCAGATTCTTAGATCAGGTGACTTAAATCCTGCTCGGCTCTTGCAAGCAATCCAGTAAACAAAATATACAGTATCGTGTACCGGTTCACCGGTGACTTTAGTTGTTGGCGATCTCTCAAGGTAGGAAAGTCGCACTTGTATATTTCACTTGTCGAGAACTTGTGATAAGATACATTAACCACAGTTAATTGTCAAAAAGAAGTGTTTCCACATTCCCAGTATAATTTTGATATGTAAGGTGAGTCATTAGAAATAGAATACGCGTTCGTATTTTGCTTTGAAAATATAGTATAATAATTGAAACACAAAATCAAGTACTAACCAGAAAGAACAGAGTCATGTTCAATCAATATGTCACTTATCAAAGTCATCGAGTTCTACAAAACTTTTTTGAAATTATATATAGTATTAATTAATATTATTGACCATTTACAAACTGAGGATGAACTGAATGAGGTAAATTTTACCATTATTCCCAATCTGATATTATTTTACTTGTACTTTCTTATACAACTTATGTATCTTTTACAGTAAAATTGTTATTTATTGTCACGTTTCGCAATTGTGTTAAAAGCCCACACTAATGTTGGATCAAACTTTTATATTGCAAAACAGCAACGACTATTATTTATGTTTAATGTTGAAATAATGCGTTCTAGGTATATAAATTCATAAATGACTATAGTTGGTTTCTAAGGATGCCTAAAAATTTTAAATTTAAGTTTGACGATCAACACAAGCTAATCAGACAGGTAAATCTTATGAAGCATATACTTAATTTTCCATAATAGATATTTATATGTAACACATACAAATATGTATTTAACTCTAACAAGGGAACCGCAAGAAGAGACCCCTCACTGATCTTAATGAATAATGGTTCTATCGAAAGGACGTATCCTAGTATGAAACCCCACGCAGGCTTTACACTCGGAAACTTTTTGTCCCAAAGTTATACCTACGCCAAAGTTGTACATCCAGTAACACAGTCTAATTCGACCGCATTTTAGCCAAAAATCTTTCGCGTATAACATTAGAACAAGAAGTTTCCGAGGACAAAGCCTGCATGGGGTTTCATCCTTGGATATGACCTTTTAAAAGAACCCTTATTCATTAAGATCGGTGAGGCGTGTACTTCTTGCGGTTCCTTTCTAAGTACTTCACTTAATGAAATTATATTTTGTTAGATTCTAATACTAATGATACTTCATTATTGTTCAGTGCTTACAAATATCAAAATAATATGTTTTAGGTGTATAATATAGTTGTCCGTCATTATAAGGCTTATTTGCCATTAATTATTATTAAACAAAAAATAAATCTACGCCTGTCCGAAATCGAGCATCAACTGAGTCAGTTTCGAAATCTTGTGCCGAATCGATACAAGTAACTTCTCATACAATTGCGTTTAGTTTCAGAGATATTTAATTTCAGAGACTTTAATATTATTCCGATGTTATCACTTATGTAGTAATATTCTGCCCGCGATACATTCATTACAAGGTGTTCGTTAAATACCACATTTAAATCGTTTTTCAACAGAAATAACAACTTTCAAGTAATACTCTATCTTTCTAATAAACTTACGACGTCATGTGTACGTAACGTTTAATTTCTTGAAAATATTTTATAAACAAAATTATTTTAGCATATATACTCTATAATGTATTATATGTTCTACAGAAAATTCTTTGAATAAACAAAAAATATTATATCGTGTATTTGTTTGTATCATTTAACATCAAAACACATTCTTCCATCAATTTAATTAACTTTATATAGGTAAATGCTAAAATTTATATGTTAACTGTTTCATTGCCAGGCAGTCTTCTACTGACAATAGTCTTGGTAGGTTTAATATCCATTAGATCCATTAGATGTTTTTTTTCCTTTTTTAACTATTGTATATTGTATGTATGTGGAACAAAAGCGACATCTCGATTAGGACTTCAAATTAGCGACAATTACTTTTGGGCTCATAATCTTTCTAACGCATCCGTCTATACAAGTTAAGCCTCTTGATCTTTAATCTTCAGGTTTCCTCCTTTTACCCCTGTCGTTAATAGTTCATTAACATGTGCACGCGCGCTAGTATTTAGCATCGATTTTTTTTTCACGGAAGATAACTTCCGTGAAACCGTAATCTAATTTTATAAACGACGGTTAATGCTCTATCTGTTTATCAACGTAGCCGCGGATACGCTGATCTCCATAGCAAATTTTTCCTATTTCTCCCCCCCCCCTCTCTCTCTCTCTCTCTCTCTCGCCCCTCTCTTCGTCTCTTTCTACGATAAAACGGAATTAAAATACGCCCCGGGCTTATTTTGTAGAATTGTCATTTCTAAGCAACTTGGAACTACCGTTTGTCAAATTAGCGGTAAGAATTTGTTGCGTTTCTATCAAGTTTTATGCTTTAGAGGCTATATAAAACAATTCGGAATCTTATAAGATTAAAATTTAACATTTAAAATAAATTTCAATGCATACCTTTAAAACTTTAACGTAAAAAGATATGTATATTTTAATATAGAAACTATCGAAGAGTAATTAATTTTGAGTACATACAACCTCTAGATGTACTTAGGGCAGAGAAAAGGATACCAAAATGTTCACGAAGGATCGATATACTTGTGAAACTAGTGCCAAGAAACTCTTAAAATCTAACGTATCGATAACATATCTTTCATAATTAGGCTAACATTTTTTACTTGTAGAAAAATTATCAGGAAAGAAGTCGACTGCCGAGCAGAAATTGCAGCGGACTTACATTAGCACAAAGTGCGTATAAGTGCGTGTGAAACTTTCGTCTCGTCTACAGTACTTGCAAACATATAATGGGAAACCGAGCGGTAAATTAACGCGGCAAAAACCAATTATGGCATACAATTATTAACTCGTGGAATTGCAGCGACGTTGGAATTTCTCGAAAAAGACTGCAGCGTGCGCGCGCACGCAAGGTCACGGCGAAAATATTTTCTTTTACAACACGTGCGAGACAATGTTCGCCGGCGCAAAATAAATACGTACTTATATAAATACGTGACGTTACCGGCAATTAACGAGTCGAATCGGGGCCGTGCATCCTGTAAGGAGGCAACTGCAAAATATACTACACTTTGACATTACAGAGACGACAGTCACACTATTGCAGATGAAAGTGACGTCAGAAGATGAATCACCGGATTGGAAAGCCGGGAGGAAGGTGGACTTTCCTCATTCTGGCTCGTGGCGAAATGTGGAGGAAAAATCGCCGTCCGCTGCCATACTCGCGCTCGCGGGTATTCGATAACTTAATAAAGCAGCGAACTGCAACTTCCTCTTATGAGTTTTACGAATAATTGTGAACCTCGCGCACCGTCCTTGGCTCCGTGCGTGCGAAACGAGGACGGTGTTCGCTAAGCAAAAACGCGAACGAGCCATTGTTGTTTTGCAACCACGCGGGAGGAGCGTTTAACGCGACTCGAAGGCTCTCCTCGCGATTCTACTTTTCCCCCGTCACGGTCACGAGAGATCGCGATATTGTTGCACGGCCTCCCATATCGGCGTGCATAAATGAATATATAATACTAATTAACCCCATTAATCGCCGGGGGGAGGAGGGAGGCAGGAGCTTCATCAATGTAGATATCGTCGATGCGGCACTTATTAATCCTCTCCGGACAACCTGGCAGATTTTCCCGGATGAATCACTGCTCGGCTCGGTTATCTTCATTCGGCGCCCTCGATTCGAATTATCCCGACGAGGAGATTGCCGTGGCAATCGCACCCGGCGCCCCGCCTGTCTTTCGGGGGATTCCCAGACCGCCGAATTCTCCAAACGCCGAAATGGAGGCCCCGCCGCCTGCCCTCGCGCGGCCGCGAACGAGCGCGGGGGAAACTCAGGCGGAAACGCACCGCGGGAAAAAGCCGGAGGGCACTGGAGGGAGATGTCCTTGGTTGACGCAGTCGGCATTAATAGGTATAAAGGAAACCGTCCTCGTCGTCGCGGCGTCCAGACCGACCGGTCGAGCTTAACAGTCATGCCCGTCAACGAGGACATCACCAACGATCGCGTGTCGGCGTGGACGGAGCTCGAGAGAGCCGGTCCACCCGCGGGATCACGGCGGAAGATGGCCGGGGAACATCCGCGGACGGACACCCCGTCGACCCCGGCTGTCCCGGCTTCCCCGGCTCTCCCTAACGGCACCGAGGAACGAAGAGGCGTCGAGAAGCGGGACTTCCGCAGCATGCCGCGTCGGGATGCACACGAGAAGCTCTTCAGGGACTTCTTCGAGCTCGTGCTGCAGCGCGCGGTGTTCCACGTGAGAACTGAAAACTTTGAGAAAATATATTTACCTTTTAGTTTCTTTTTTACAAGCACGATAATCTCTATTGAATGGGACGGTATTCATTTTGGAAATTGATACGTTGGAAATTCCGAGACCAAAAGACATGCGCGCGACTTTATTAAATAGATAATTTTTAAAAAATGAGGAAAGAAGGTGGCACTAAAAAAGAGAAAAGATTTGTGGTTAGTATGGAATAGAGACGTTATTTTACATACTTACTACATTTTTACTGTGTTCTGTTACGTATATTAATTTATAAAATATTTATATATAATTTGTATATATTTATATGTATATATATTAATTTATATAATTATATTTTTTATTTATATTAATGTATGCATATAAATATATATTTTATACATAAAATATTTGTTTATGTTTTTGTATTAAATAGATATTTCTTCTTCTTCTTCTTCTTCTTCTTCTTCTTCTTCGAGTATTAAGCTTAAAGCCTGTTTTATCCAGTTCGTTCTGGTACTTCAAGCATTTGGTTTTATCATCTTCGGTAGGCTGCTAACCTTGCCGAAGAAAATGTCCAATTTGAAAAGCTAATCCTAAAGGGGTATGTGTGGCAGGGTATTCTCGGTGGTTGCGACTTTACTTCGGAAAATTTCGAAAAGACCAGCGGCGTTCGCGGATTTGAACTCAGATCTTTTCATTCATTTGTTTACTAAGCAGCGCACATTTCTCTGCACCACACTCGCCACTATATTATATTTTTTATTATGTATTATTTTTCTCGTATGCACCTCTGCTTCACATCCAGCGATATTAGAACGGTGTTTCCATTCGATTCTGTCCGCTTGAATTTACATATCTGTTTCTATAGAGAACGCTATCACTTGGATTGATACTATCGCGTTATCATTATTATTGGCAGTGATACCAAAAGCGGTATCGCGAACGGGATTTCGCAATGTTGCAAGAGAGAAGCGAGTCCCTGGAAAAATACTGTCTGGATATTTTTGCTTCTAACGGCCATAAACGATTAATAGCCAGTGTAGATCCTTAACAGCCAACATGGATGTCGTATGATTGACGCGCGATTAATATTGCATTTTCTAAATAAATTATAAAAGGTCAAGCTTGCAAAGCAAAGAGGAGAGATCGTAGGACAATAAACGAGCGAATAAAGATATTACAAGATATAAGAATATGAGTACAATATGATTTATCGTCTAATAAAAAAAAAAGTTAATGAAACATTTCGAATTGCACAGAATCTTCAGGAATAAGAGAAGACATATTTTGTGTCTCTTTTTACATTGTTACTTACTTTGTAGCTGATAAAGACTCCGTGCAGCTCGAAACGTCCCGTCAACTTCTTTTGATGAAATATTAATAAATCATATTATATGCGAAACGTAATATCCTCACTCGCTTATTGTCCCACGACCTTTACACGGTGCATTTTTATGTTAATGCTATTCCATTTATCACAGATACGACGGAATTTACGCCGTTTAACGAGCAACTTGCAGTAACAGCGAATGACTTGTCGGCAATTAAATCGCCAGTATTGATCTCATTATCATGCCATGCTCCTCGGCAAATTAGACGCAAACCACTTATAAATGCCCGACCAGGGACAAGCGCGGAGAAAAAAAACCGCAATCCTTAGCGATAACGCATTGTCTCGCGTATGCGAGAAATCCGGCGTATTCTGCGAATTCGTTTATGAATTCCTCGAGACTCGAATCAGTTTTCCTTAATGGAAATTCTGTTACACTTTTTGTATTTTCTTTGTTGTAATTTTTTAGATACTTAATGTGACTAAACATCAGACTAAAGTACTGTTGAAATAAAATCCACTCGACCTCAAACGACGAGCAAGATTTCGTTATCCATTTCGTGGAAAGCGGCGGCGTTTAATATAATTCATAAAATACTTAACATTTTCGAAAGTCGAATCCAACTTGCACCAAAGATTCGTCAGCGAAGTACGTTGTTAAATATTGCACATAGCAAATTCATCGTAATATTTCGAAATTAAGAATAATTCTAAAACTAAAACTTCTTGAAATTGAGAATAAACTCTTTGCCTTTTTTTTCTGCTATCATCTTCTACTACCGGAGTTGCAAACAGCAAGATAGCTTGGCGTGAGAAGGAAATCATGCCAATTTACATCCGTCCACGGGGAGGCAAAGGGCGGTTATGCCTGAAAATGATTCAACATAATTTTCATCCGTATGTGTGCGTACAGGCCACTTCCGGAAAGGACCACGTGGTCGAATGGGTGGACCCTTACGATCTGCGCACCGTGGTCGACCTCTCGTTGACAGCCGAGGGAGTCAACCACGAGGAGCTGCTGACGCTGACGCGCGACATCATCAAGTACAGCGTGAAGACGGGCCACCCGCACTTCGTGAACCAGCTGTTCTCCAGCCTGGACCCGTACGGGCTGCTGGGTCAATGGCTGACCGACGCACTCAATCCGTCTGTCTACACCTACGAGGTGTCCCCGGTGTTCTCGCTGATGGAGGAGGACGTGCTGCGGGAGATGCGCACCATCATCGGCTGGCACAGCGGCGAGGGTCTCTTCTGTCCAGGCGGCTCCATGGCGAACGGATACGCCATCAATCTGGCGCGTCACCATAGGTGATTATTTACTTTTTCAGGTATATTATTAGAAAATCTATTATTATCTTATTATATATTTATATATCTTACATAGATCTTTATTATAAAATAGCTTTATAATGTATGTATATAGCTGGTTTCCTCATTTAAATGATGGCCATTGTCTTGTCTACTCTTGAACTAAACGTGAGAATAACACGGACATTGTTAATTGCAGATACCCGAGCTTGAAGCAATCAGGATTGTCGCAGATGCCGCGGCTGGTGGTGTTCACGTCGGAGGACGCGCACTACTCCGTGAAGAAGCTCGCCGCGTTCCTGGGCATCGGCTACGACAACGTGTACCTGGTCAAGGTCGACTCCCGCGGCAAGATGGTGGTCTCCGATCTGGAGGCTCAGATCGCCCGAGCCGTCGAGGAGGGCGCCGCGCCGCTCATGGTGTCTGCCACCGCGGGCACCACCGTGATCGGCGCGTTCGACCCCCTCAGAGAGATCGCGGAAGTCTGTAAGAAGCACAGGCTGTGGCTCCACGTGGATGCCGCGTGGGGCGGCGGTGCACTCGTTTCAGAGACGTACCGCGGCCTCCTGGACGGCATCCAGCTCGCTGATTCCGTCACCTGGAACCCCCACAAGTTGCTCGCCGCACCGCAGCAGTGTTCCACCCTGCTGCTCCGTCACGAAGGTCTCCTATTTATCTTTTTTCTTATTTTTCTTACACGTGTTTCTTCATTTGTATCAATTTTATTTAATACAAGATTTTTGTCCTTCTTCAATTTGCGCTAATAGACACCTTAATTGCAACGATTTGATTTTAACAGAGTTAAAATATGGAATACCATATGAATTTTAATATTACGTCAATTAAAATATAAATTAATCGTTTAATATAATTTCATTACCCTAATAGCACAGTGAACATTGGCTCAACGTTGGCCCGATACAACATATTAGGCCAATGTTTAACCAACGTTTTGTCAATGCACTGTGCTACTAGGGTACTTTTATATGTCATCAATATTCTATTTAATTCGTAATTCTTTTGTTAATACTTTTATATACACAGTCCGACAGTTTTCCACCCAGACTTTGAATCTCCCGCCTAAACGCGTGGCGCTATTTGTCGGAACTATAGGCTTGTTTTTCCTAGGGGAAAAAATTTCTATAAATAACTACAAAAGTTCACTTGAAATATAAATTTGTAGAAATGTATATCTTCGTTAAAACATTAATTTTTTTGTAAAAATATCTACGAAATAACGTACACAATACAAATTACAATGATTTCAAATCAAGAAATTATTGTAAGTAGTATTTCATGTAATGTACAATTTTATAAAAATGAGTACAAACTTTACTAGGTTTAAAAATTTGTAGAAATTTTTATATCTTCGTTAAAACATTAATTTTTTTGTAAAAATATCTACGAAATGGTACTACAAATTACAATGTTCTCAAATCAAGAAATGAGAAACAACAAAATCTTAAAGAATTAAAACATCTGCTTACTTGTAGTATGTTACAAAAATTCACAAAAGCGTTCCGATTCTAGCATTTTCATGTTGATTTTCATCTTCAGGTTTGTTACACGCGGCTCACGGTTGCGGAGCGAGCTACCTCTTCCAGAACGACAAGTTCTACGACGCGTCGTTCGACTGCGGCGACCGGCACGTGCAGTGCGGCCGCCGCGCCGACGTTGTCAAGTTCTGGTACATGTGGAAGGCGAAGGGCACCCGCGGTCTCGAGGCACACGTCGACCGCGTGTTCGTGCTGTCGCGCTACTTCACCGATCTCATCAGGACGCGCGAAGGCTGGCGCCTGCTCATCGAGCCGGAGTGCACCAACGTTTGCTTCCGCTACGTTCCGCCGTCGAAGAGACACCTGGTCGGTCAGGAACTCGATCAGGCGCTCCACAAGGTGCACAACGCTCGATCTAAATGCGTTTTTCTAACGCGACGATTTTAGATGTAAAGAAAAGGATTTAGAAAATTAAGCGAACTTATCTTGTTCTGTATGAAGCGACCCAACGTTCTGATTTCCCACATTTGTTAACTGAAATGTTCATCTTCGATGCAACTTATTCTTTTAGTTCTCGCTACATCTCGAATTTCTAATTTATTTCCTTCTATCTTGTTAGTTTTTGTTAGTGCATCCCCATTTTATTTCTATTTCAATCGTTGCAGATCGCGCCGATAATCAAAGAACGTATGGTGCGAGCCGGAACAATGCTGATTACGTATCAGACATTGAGAGATATGCCGAACTTCTTCCGACTGGTGCTGCAGAACTCGGGGCTGACCGAGGCCGACATGAAGTTCTTCGTCGACGAGATAGAAAGGCTCGCTGTGGATCTTTGAGTAGTTTAAATGGCAAATACTGTACATAGCGATATAGAATGTGTATGTATTATTAGTGTAAGAAATAGTTGCACTTGGTAAATCAACGTGACCGTAGAAACAAAACGATCACTCACCTCTTCACACGGCCAAATTAGTGCCTTATTATTTTCCTCCTCCCTTTTCGTATCGTGTACCTCCGCGAATTAACGATAATCAACTTTGAACGGTGGAAGCGAGTGAAAGAGAGAAGATATGCGCACCACAACACTTTATCTTGTGTTGTAGAATTGCAAGTGATAAACAAAGAGTCTAAAAGAAGAGATAAAATTCGCGCAAGTTAGATTGGGGAAGAATAGGGAATCAAGAAGAAGATGTAGCGTGAGAAAGAAGTACGGCGGCCTGGCTGCAACAATAGTTAATCTTTTCTTCTTGTTGATTATTACATAATATCGACCGTTGTTGGCATAACGATAACTACCGGATATTTACAGGTATTCTTCAGCAATGATTTACATTTACGTATTACATTTACGTACAACAAGTTTAAGAGTTTTGGTGACGATTTCTACATTCAACTCAATAACAACGTCGTATGCGATAACCGTCTCTCAATAATGAGTTATTAATCGTAATAAAAATAATTCACGTTCGCGACGCGCTCGGACCAGAAATTAGCCCTCACGCGGATATGCACAGCCCCACAGTATGCACAGGCGGTCATTCCTTATTAATTTCTATCTCTATTCTCTATAATCTCAATATTCCCAACCGAAAATACGTTGTTTAACTGTATTCCTTAAGTAACTTGATGTGGAATTGCTTCAGCGCTTCGAGCATTGTTTTGATTTTCTCCTTTTGCGGCAGTATCGTGGTTCGGAAATGGTTCGTGCCGACCCTTTGGCCGAAGCCCGAGCCTGGAATCACGCAAATCCCGGTGCTCTCTAACAATTTGAACGCGTAGAAGACGTCCGGCTCCTGGCCCTTCGCACGCGCCGCCTCGATCACCTTCGGCGGCAGTTCGAAGCGCGGGAACACGTACATCGCGCCCATCGGCGGATTCGCCTGAAAGGTGAAAGGAGAAACATTGTAAGAATAATCGAGCGCAGCTTCCGTTGGCTATTCGTCGGCGAAAGGACCTATGGTCACCTTATATCCTGGAATACTATTGAGTGTGTCGACGACGAGCTGCGACTTCTCTGCCAGGGAACGCAGCGTTTCCCTCTTCTCCTTCTGAAATTGCTCGTACGACGGTTCGTTCGGTCGCGGCGGCTTCACCACAACGTCCATCACGATCTGGCCGAGCACGGTGGGACACAGCATCGCGGAGATCGACTTCAACAGCACCTTCATCACTTCCGGGTCCATGTTAATGATTTCGGCGTAACCGCCGCGTATCCCGCACTCGCCCATGTATCCTGAAAATAAAATATGTTTCAGTATAGGATATTTCTCGAATCTCCCGAGATCTTTCTTCACGAATACAACTCGGTAACCAAGATTTAATAGCTTCTCAAATCAAATAAATGTCGATGTTCGATATTTCAACCAAGTTAATAAACTCGCGAGTATAACTTGAGAATTCAATGTCCCTTGATTAAATTGCGAAAGGTTTAACGTTTAAAATAAATTGCTTTCTACGACTCTTAACGCTCTTAGCTATATTCTCGATCCTATCATATCTTCGCGCACCTTTCGAGATGGACATAAACGACGCGAGTTCCATCTTCGAATACGGCTCGCCCATCTCCGTCATGACTTTCTTCAAGGAATGGAACGCGCTCTCCTTGTCGTATATGTTGTCCTGATAGACCTCGTCGGCGAGCAGGAACAGATGATGCTTATGAGCGAAGCGGATGACGTCTTCGATGTTCTTGCGGGTCAATACTTGGCCAGTTGGATTACCGGGGTTGATCACTACTAGCACACGAGGGTTGCACGTGCCCTTCATCTTGTTCAGTGCACGTTCCAGCTCGTTGATCTCCAGCGACCACTTGTTATCCTCATCCAGATAGTATCCGATCTGAGCGAGACCAAACTCCGCCAGCGTTGCCGAGTACAGAGGATACTGCGGAATCGGGATCATCACGCCGGATGGTTTGCCGTCGATCCTTTCGTTGAACAGCTTCAGGAATGACTGGAGAGAAAATTCAAAATCAGACCAGGTTACGATGAACAAAGACAAAATACAGGGTGTTATGTAATACCCGCA